TGATAGAGGGATTAAAGAAGGAATTGCTGACAGAAATGAAGAATCTACTAAAGAATGAAGAGAGCCGAAAATCTCAAGTGAGAGAGGGTACGAGGTATCCCTGCAGGAGCTGTGGAGAACGAGGACATTCAATGACCACTTGCTCACAAACTAAGTGTTACAATTGCAATGGATTAGGGCATATTGCCACAGCTTGTCCCGAGCCTCAGCGACCTAGAACTGAATCAAGATTCAGTAATGTCAGCCCTATTAGGTTCTTGACCAATAATGGTGTTGACTTACAGCCTGGCAGCAGACCAGTGGTGCGGAAAATCCTTGCTGATGCAAAGTTTTGTGGAACTTCAATGCAGTTCCTCATTGATTCCGGAGCTGTGAGGAACATGATCAGCATAGGGAGTTACCACACAATACCACCCTATCGACGACCCAGTCTGAAGCCTCCCTCTCGAGTATTTATACAAGCAGATGGCTCTCCTCTTTCCACATATGGTGAGATTTCTGGAGAGATAAAGATTGATGGAAGAGCAACCTTGATTACAGCAGTGGTTGCAGATATTGCCCAAGCTGGTATTCTGGGGTCAGAGTACATGTCCACCAGTGGAGCAGTAATAAACTTCAACAAGCTGGAGATGATTTTTGATGACGAGGCAGTGCTGGAGCAATATCATATGCAAGATGAGCAGACTCAAACTACCTCCAAGAAGACGTCACCCAAAGAGTGGAACAAGCAGATGCAGTCATCCTCGGACGGAGCCTCACCACTTCTGCCTTTGCCAAGATCTAAGAGGAATGAGAGCAGAGTCACATTTGCAAAGGTTATGGAGCAGAACAAGAAAACAAGGTTTGACAAGAATGCTGATGCTGAGGATAGCGAGTTGGAAGAAGAAGATGCTGAGCTGATCAAAGAATCTAGATACAGGGCAGAGGAAAGAGAAAATGATAAATCGGCGATGAGGAACCAAAGAGAGCCTTTGGCAGACACTGATAGTCTTACAGTGACTAGGAAAAGGAGAGGGCAACTTTCCAGGTCACAACCCGGGTCAAGGACACATGAGAGAGCTCATAACAGAAGTCCTCCAGGAAAGGGGTATGCTAGAGAAAGTCCTCGGCATAAGGAGAATTATTTCAGGAGCTTTTCATACCACAAGGAGCCTCCTCGTATGAGCTCCTTGTACCAGAAGAATTGTCCTCCTAAGAGCTCGTCATACAAGGGAGATTTTTCCAAGAGGTCCTCACGCCAGAAAACAAGAAGTTCAATTGGCGCTCCTCTTTGGAGCATACCTAAGTCAGCGAGCAAAAGACAGAAAGACCAAGAGCCTCAGAGAGCTGATGAGCTCTTCCTTTAAGAAGACACTAGAAGTTAGCAAGTGAAGACAGTGTTTTATGTGAGGGCACATAAAAGCTAGAAGGGGGGTATGTGGGAAAATTTCATTTTTTGTGTTTATCCTTTTTAATTTTCCCACTGGTGCAGTTTTATGTTTAATTGGTCCATTTATGCAAGGGATAGGGAAACCCCTGCTCACAAGTGGGTATTCCAAGACAGGAAGGGGATTCCCCTCAATTGCTGCAATGCAGTGCCCCTGATTTCAAAATGTGTTCACCTGTGCCTATGACTCATGCCATCACATGAGAGAGAATGAAGGTCGCCATCTTGAATGAAGCAGTGTGAATTGAGGTTTGGAAGAAAATCTACAATTATCGTGCTTTGGAGTAGCCATCAGCCAGTGATTTGGGATTAGTTAAGAAGAATAAAGCGGGAAGACACACCAGGACGTTGTAGAAGGAGAAACAGGAGAGGAAACTCGAATTTTTGGGCTTAAGAGAAAGCAGCACTGATTCGGGTGAGATTTTTCCTTTTTGTTTATGTGATTTTATGGCCAGCATGCTACTAGATGCCTCTGACTGACTATAACTTTTAATTTCAAGTGTACCAGAATTTGTGACTTTATGATCAGCATGCTACTGAGATGCCTCTGACTGATCGTAATTTCTAGTTCATTGGGTATCCAGATCTACTGTGTGTCGCCATTTTGTGTCCCAGGCTTTCTAAAGTTAGTGAGATATTTGTCAGATTTAATTGAAAGCAAGAATAGCTTCATACTTCCATTCTTAAGAGTGCTGTAAAGAGATTCAGAGCTCAGTGTTGTCCTTGAGGAAGCAGCAAGGAACATTCTGGAAGCAACCTTGCATTACAGTTAGTTCGGTTCCACCACTAGCTGTAAGGTGCAATTGAGAAACTTCCCAACACAGAGAAGTATTTTGTCAGTTGGTTTCACCGCTGACAGAAGTAGTCCAGGAAGACTTCCATCGCATCGAGCAGTGAGGAGCCTCCCTGGAAAAGTCAAGAGCCATAGAGGCAGAGCAAGGCTAAAGAGCCAGAAGAGTCACAGTGGACTATTTTGTCAGTTGGTTTCACCACTGACAGAGATAGTTCCAGGAGGACTTCTAGAGCAACGAGCAGCTAGGAGCCTTCCCAGCAAGCTCAAGAGGAGCCAGGCTAAAGAGCCAAAGAGCTGAGCGAAGAGCCAGAGGAGCAACGTTCAGGAGCCAGAGGAGCCAGGCTAAAGAGCCAAAGAGCTGGACGAGGAGCTAGAGGAGCCAAGTTCAGGAGTCAGAAGAGCCAAGCTCAAGAGGAGCCAGGCTAAAGAGCCAGAGAGCTGAACGAAGAGCCAGAGGAGCCACGTTCAGGAGCCAGAGGAGCCAAGCTTAAGAGCCAGAAGAGCCAAGCTCAAGAGGAGCCAGGCTAAAGAGCCAGAGGAGCTGAACGAAGAGCCAGAGGAGCCAAGTTCAAGAGCCAGAGGGGCCAAGCTCAGGAGCCAGAGGAGCTGAACAAAGAGCCAGAAGAGCCAAGTCCAAGAACCAGAGGAGTCAGGAAAGAGCTAACGAGCCATAGGAGCTGAGCCAAAATTACGGGCCATAGGAGCCATAAAGAGGCAGAGGAGCCGAGTAAAGAGCTTAAGAGCCATAGGAAGCAGTAAGAAAGCAGTAACGGCCACTACCAAGCTTATAAAGAGAGATCAAAGTGACATTTTAGTCTATGAGCATTAAAGTGTGTTATTTTCTTGTATAGTTAGTGTGTGTTAAAATATATGTATTAAATTTGAAGCCATTTGTGACTGTCGTTTCATCCAGTCCACCAAACCAGGACTGGGCCCACAAAGAAGTATAAGGTAGAAAATTACTCATCGCTTCCAGACTATAGGCAAAAGTCTGGAACGCGACAATATCCTGTAGCATTCCTAGAATATGACTTTTCCCTGGGAAATTAACTCAAAATAGACCTGCTATGTCAAAGTCCTTGATTGAATCCTCACCTAGCCAAAATTCCATATATCAAGGATGAGCAAAAATACACAAATTAAAATAAATAATAAATAAAAAGAGGCAATTTTATACAAGTATTAGTACTATAAAAAGAGGCAATTATACACAAGTATTATACTTGCATCAAGGATATTTCAATTCCCAATATACCTAATATCCTGGCACAGTAATTAGAAGGGCGCTTGTCATATTTTAAATCAAAATTTCCAAATGACTCGATTTCCAAATCAGCTATTGTTATTGTCTATCTTGGTTTCAGTCAAGTAGCAAAAAATCATTTACTGTTGGATAAACTGCCATACTTTAAAAGCCATTTCCGATGGTTAAGGGGAATATTTGCCACTAATGTGAATGATGTTTTGCTACTGATTAATTTGACATGATAATATGTACAGTACAATAATATGTTCAGTACTACAGATAGACTTAATTTGGCTACCGTTTTAATTTGACAGATTGGCGGATTGAAAAAATCCGCAAAATTAAAAATCCGCCAATTTTCAGATCTATTTTAGAAAATCCTTAGAAAATTTGTAATTTGTAATTATTTGACTTGTGTAAGTATTCCTATTTGAATGTAGGTGCAGTATTATACCAAGACTTACTGAAAGCAGAACACATGAATCTGTATTTCCAGATCTGATAAAATTTGAGCTCATTCCCGATTCTGCCAAATTAAATAGCCGCCAACATTTGAAATTCAAAATAAGTGTATATACAGTGTATAATTGTACTTGTATTATCATTCAATTGATTCCTGCACTATCTGTTGTTTAGTAGACTGGATACTATAGATGTCTAAAAGTCAATCAACAGAAACTTAAAGTAAATCTGAGTTTTCTACACTTTCAAGAGAAATTTCAATTTTATGGTTATAAAGAAAACAAAACAACATATAAAAAATGGGCAAAACTTTAAAAGTTGTTGCTTGTTGGGCAAATTGACAAATATCTGTACATCATGCTTCTAAGTAAATTGTCCATTACTTTTGGAGTTTTAACAAAACCTTAATAAAGAACATATAAATTAAGGGACCTACATGTAGTCTGTCCTTGTGTTCACATTGTGTCAGTTCTCTCTAGCATATCCTCCGATAAATTAATTGATAATTGTCTTTTTGACAACAAAATTGCAGACTTCAAAAAACATGAACTTGGGAAATGGCAAATAAGGATATTAGTCAAATAAATAAAATGTATGTAGACATAAACTGTATAATCTGTATAGCATAACATGAATGGCAGTTTTCATACGTAGAACATTACTTGCGGTTTTACCATGAAAAAACATTATGAATATATTTGAGCAATTTTGTAAATATTGATATTTTAGGAAAAGTGCACAAAAATAGTATAAAATCAACAATTAAAGTTACTACCATTTTGAAACCAGTGACAATTTTGAAAATCCCTTTTGAGCAGAACTTATTACCAATGTATTTGATATGATTGACATGAATGATATCAACCCAAAGGTATTGGAATTATCACCTCCACAGACAAATGGATGGAAAGAGGCATTCACTAAACTTCAGGAAGTTGTTTCCAAGAAAGCTATTTTATAACCCAAATGTATAACCCATCAATATATGAACTGTTCTTGGTACTCCGGTCCATCATTTCATTGTTGCCAGTACTTGTATGCTATTTAACTGTTAATTTTTTCATTTCCTTCAGATCTGATGAGGCAGACAATTACAATTACCATGTCAGATATAAAAGAGTTTACAGATGAAAGTGAAGTACTTTCTACCCTGCCCACAGCATCCAATCATTCATTAAACTACATGACACCGGAGATGAGTAGGAACATCACACAATGGGTGACAGTAAAGATACTGACAGCAATGTTGAAGATGTACAGGATAACACCAGATGTGGATTGTAAGAATTGTGGAAATGAAACTTCAAATTTTACAAATATAAGACATGATGAACAACATGACACACAGAAAGAGATGTTTGATTTTTACCTTTATACTGTTGTCACCCTCATAGTGTTTGGGATTATCCTGTTAACAGGAATTGTTGGAAATGGTATGGTGATTTACATTACAGTACGGAAGATGAAAGGATTCACAGTGGTCAATGTACTTGTGACAAACCTTGCAATTGCAGATTTATTATTCATCTTACTGGTTGTTCCTTTCGCTACATATGACTATGCTTTCAATGCATGGCCTTTTGGTGATGTCATATGTAATCTCATGTATTATTTGCTGTTTTCTACAGTGTATGTATCGATTTATTCACTTGTGGCAGTGTCTCTCACCCGTTATCTGACACTGGTGCATGGAAACACTTTCAAACCTTATAAAACCAAACGGAATGTCATAATTGTTACAATCCTTACTTGGATAACAACTGGGGGACTTAATGCACTGATATTGAAAAGGTTTACAGTGGCAGATGGATACTGTACTGGAGCACCAGATTTCATCAAAACTTTATACTTATCATTCTTTATTTTTGGATATGCATTACCACTGGTGATTATATTTATACTCCATGTGCTGATACTGGTTTTCCTACATAAGAACAATCATACTGGTGCTGTTGGAAGTAGGAGAAGGAATAATCGTGCAAGCCAAGTTGTCATAGCAACGGTGGTTGCATTTGCCTGTTTGTGGTTACCTTTCCAAGTGTGTACGATGGTTGCATTCTATGGAAAGGCACAGTCATCACAGATGTATAAACTAGTTGTACATATAGCGCAATGTCTCGCATATGCCAATTCATGTGTAAACCCATTCCTATACAGCTTTGTTTCTAATGACTTTAGAGTTGCATTCAAAGAAACATTTACATGTGATTATACACCTATAAAACAGACCTTAACTACAGATAACGCTGTAATTGGACAAAGCAGTGAAATGGTACAAGTTAGAGAAACTGAATTGCATACAGTTGAGACTTCAATTACTTGATTACAGATTTTCTTGAAAGAACACCCTGGGTTTCTAAATGAAATACAGTCTAATTTCTGTTTTCCTTTTTTATGCCCATGGGTGTACATTTTAAAGTACTATCAATCAAACACTATAGTTATGCTGATAATACATACATGTACATGTAATGGCCTCATCTTGTAACATAGGAGCAATGCTTTGACAAGCGTTTAGCTTCAGGACATATAAATTATAGGATATCACAGTTTTGAAAAAATATATTTTTGGGTTTTCATGAACACCTATTTCTGTTGAAAGGACATTTCTATCTAAAAGGTCATTTTTGAGAATCAAAAATCTCAAAGAACTTTTTTCGATTTAGCCAGCCAATATTCACATCTCCAAAAAGGTCTATTTGCAGTATGGCAAGTGATTTTATTCGGTCATATCTCACCATGAGTACTTTTTGGCCATAAATACATTGGTTTTTATTAAATAATATGTTTTCTTTCAAGTAAAGTCCCTATGATGATGAAAAATTGTTGAACCAAATTTAGTCAAAGGAGGATCTTCTTTTTCTGATTTTTATTGCATGAAAAGATCATTCAACAAGGGGTCTAAAAGTTCTTCAAAAGTAGAATGGGATTGAAAGTCTAGTTTTGAAGATATCAATTTTCAATGACCAAAATTGTGCTGAAAACAATGGATAACATGAGTTTACCCTATGGAAAAATAACATGGGATATTAGTGGATTTTAACTTTAGCACATTTCAAAACCCACCCCCTTTTCAGAAATTCTTAATATGCTCTAGAAGAAATTTTTGATTTAAATTGAGAAAAACAAGATCCTCTTTTTAGAAAATAAGCCTAACACTTTAAAAAAGTGATAAGATGGGGTCCTAATGCATAGTTTTTCAGAGAGCTGAATTGATATTTTACTATCATGGGGACTTTACTTGAAAGAAAACATATTGTTTTAATAAAAACACTGTATTTATGCCCAGAAAGTTCTCATGGTGAAAGATATGAATGTCTAAAATCACTTGCCATACTGCATATGGACCTTTCATTACAACTGCAAGTCATAATTTCAAACACATTACAATCTCATTATATGGGATGATAAATGGATAAATTTCTATTGTATAGATATCAATTTAATCATGATAAAAAGTGCAGTTGAACTAGGAAGTGAACAAGTACATAAAAAGTGTGCTTCATAATCTGAGAACATTTAATTGGCAGTTTAAAGGAATTCTGAGCGATAGAAATAACAAAATATTGCTTCTGGGACAAGATCAATTGACTTTGACATATTCTTTACCCAATCTATTTTGCAATTTAACAATCAACACAAATATACTGTACATACCATATTTCAGCAGATATCAGACAAATTCATAAAAATATAGTTTTGATTGATAAAATCATCCATTATAAAACCGAGTGGGTGCTCTCTGACATCGGCGTGGAAATATTTTGCTGTGGATTCGATTTTAAATGCTTCTAAATGATCTTCAAATACTTACTATGATTTCTATTTGTGATGTTTTGACCTCCCTGGTTCATAAAAAGAACATTATCATAATTTACTCAACTCAAAAATTCCCTTCCGGTTCATCTCAATAAAGATGAGCTGAAAGTTGTCATGAACAATATACATGGGGTTTGTTTTTCTTGACTGGTATGCACTTAGAGTTTGCTTTTTCTTGCTAAGTTCCATTACAACTTTTAGTCCTTTCCCTTTGGCACTATCTTCAGTCTAAATATGGCTTTTCAAGGTTCAATAAACAACTGGAATGGACCTTAATTCATAGTTTGAAAATAGAATTATCAGGGAAGGTTTTAAACCATGAAATCAACTCTAAAGCTGGAAGAATTTTTTTATCGGATCTGAAGTACAGTGTGCCTTTAAACTTTATTCCATCATTTACTTTCACTATAAATGATTACTTACTCCTATTAATGATTTTGGATCATCATTGAATTATCTCTAAAAGAGGCAGCCATTCTCAATTTCGCAGAATTTTTGAACATTCCTACTTTGTTAGAGACCTCAGCCCATAGAAGATCAGCAAACAAGATCTACTTACTCTCAATTAAAATTGGTAAATTGCATTTTTTCAACAATATAAATTTGGTAAGTGAAATAAATCTCAGTCTGTGAGACAAGCTGAAATCCATTAGGGTAATTAGTTTAAAAATTCATTACGAGTAACCTGAATAGCTGCTGTGGCAAAACGTATGAGACCAACCCTATGAACAAGCTATGCTTGAAACAAGGAAACAGGTAAATGCATCGATCAATATTCTCATGTAGTTCCTGGAACAAGCAGAAAGTCAAACTCATAGTTTCAATGTATTTATGGGCTGATTGAATCATTTATATCTGACATATTTAGCAGTTATGTCCCTATCATTGAACATATGCCTAAGGTCTGTCACCAATATAGCCCGAGCTTGCGAGGGTTATATTACGACAGACCGAAGGCATATATTCAATGATACGGACATAACTGTTGTATTACATACTTTTATATCATGGCTACGTTATATCAATGACGCCACGTGTCTGTGTGCGAGTGAAATTAGGAAGAAATGAAACATGACATCCCGATGACGTCATAAGATTGTCATGGTAAAAGGTTTGGCGGCTATACAGGAATATATAGCCGACCTTCAGCTCCACTGACTTCAATACAAATGCTTCGCTGGGTATGTAATACAATGATGTATTTCATTTTCTTGTGACTTATCTCTATAATACTACCATAAATGTTTTATTAAAAGGGTTAACCTTCTAGCAAAAAATACTGTAATAATTGTTCATACTACTGTACTATATAGCAACTGTTGTATGTTTCAATAAGTTGAGGTTCTCCGTTTAATGGAAATAAAAATGTTGAGCTGAGCAGAGTAAAGTGATATCAGAATTTTGATATTTTTGTTAATTTCTAATGGATTGAATCATGAGCTTTCTAGAGAAAGGTGTGCTACTTAAAACATGAAACATCAAGTCCTCATTATATACAGAATTGCAAAATTTTAGTTCTCATGGTCAAATATGCAAATCTCCCAAAAATCTCACTAAAATGTATCTGATTTGAAATCACTATTAAACACAGAAACAAACACTATTATGATATGGACATCTTTACGTAAAAAGAAAATGGATACAGAAATGAGCATTTGTTCATACAAATGGTATTTTTATTTGTCAGAAAACTGTTGACAGAAAGATGAAAAAACAGACTGGATGACATATTGAATAGTTGTCTTCTTACATAACCATTTTAAGCAAAAACGAAACATGAACTTTTTTATATATCAACTCTAAGCTGATATGAAAATGGCCTATTTGTTATTTGAAACATGTTAATCATAACATTAACAAATGATCTATTCTTGTATGAATATATCAATGTCAGTACATAATTGCATAATACAATCTCAAATGATCACTGATATAAATCAACCTCACATCGATTATCATAAACAAAGTTTGATTCATTATACCCATTGACATTTTAAATTAGTAAATGGTTCTCAGCATGTGACATTAACGTAAATGGTACTTGGCGAAAGTGCATTCATCAACACTACTGTTGAACTTTCAGACTTAGAGAACTCAGAACTTTCAGTTATAAACACTTTTTCACCTCGTTTAAATTCCGATAAACCTGGAGTAAACTTTGAGTTAAAAGAGATGTGATGGTGCTATTTTTATGGAGCAGGAAAGTCAATAATGGAAATCATGGTGATCGTAGGAAGAAGCATTAAAATCCAATCCAACACAGATTTTCTAAAACAGTTTTTTTTACAAATGTATTACAGATTTCAAAAAGTAGAAATATGCACTTTACTTTCTTCATCTGCCTAAATGTACAGGTACATGTAGTGTGTATTTGTTTTGACTGTACAATCATGATTTCATGGTTTGCTACAACATTATTGCTGACTATGTTTTCCATTTTCAAATAAGAAAAAACAATTCAACAAATGAAGGAAGTGAACAAAAACAAAATGACAATTCATCAATTGCTAACGATGCTAAAAGAACAATGCAAAAGTTGTCAGAGAGCTACAGTAACTCTATTTTAAACTCTTAGTCGTATACCCCATCTCCCTGTTAGCTAGATAAAATGTATATATGAAAAATGTTGACACTCGTAACATTTTTGAGAGTTCTCTTAACACAACAGGTTTCCAAGTTTTACAACTTTTGGCATTTATATTTCTCATTTTCTTTTGGCATATCATGAGGTATATTTGGTTCAATAGAGTTTTGGGTTTGTGGATCATATCTCAATCCTGGTGTATTGCAGTCTTACATGATAAATCTCTGTCTGAGTTACATGTGTATCATCATCGTTTCCACCCATATACATGTAGCTCAGTGGTATTGCGTGTACCCCTTACGCAATAGGTTCCGGATTCGATCTCCAGTTCAGGCAAGACTTAATTTGTTTGTTTGCGTAAAGTACTTCAGGGTATTTGACTTGACTGGTTCACAACTCGTACAAAAGGCTGTGGTATGTACTTGTATTTCCATGTATAAGTGCATATAAAAGAGCACAGGGCTCCTTCAAGGAGGGGTTTCTATCTTCAAGGTTAATTACGTAAATTACGACTGTATATACATAGGATATACCCAAGAGGTATTGTTCAAAATACATTGAATGATTTGGAAGCCTAGTTAAGTTCCCTCAACACCAGAAATTCAAACATTCTGGCAAGGGCATCCTTAGTCAAAGGGTATTGCACTTCTTTTCACATGTTCAGCAAAGCCCTATCTTGAAGGATGCGCCAGGGCAATTTGAAAGGGTTATTGCTGATCACATTTGTAAATATTTGACTCCCAGCAATCTTCTATATCAGCACCTGAGACAGGTCTTCTGCCCGACTATAATACACAAATTAAACATTTGAGTATTAAATACTTCCTATAGAATAACTTTGAATTGTAAAGACATCAAATAGAATATTTCATGATATTGTGTCAGCATTAAAAAAAAGTTCCACATCATCTACTTTTAAAATTCAAATCTTCTAGAAAACAACAGTTTTGTGAATATTAAGGCTTAACTAGGCAACAGCAACGCCAAAGCGAAGCAAATCGTATCTAACAGCCATGGCTGGCATTTTTATAGTATGCTTATAGTATTCACATACCAAATATGAACAAAATCGCTCCACTACTTTTCCAGTTAGGATAAAATACGTTAAAATGGTGGCATTTTTCAAAATGGCCACCCTCTACCAAAAGTGTCATTAGACAGTGTGCCATGCTTGTAGTATTCACATACCAAATAAGAACACAATCGCTTCACCACTTTCGAGTTATAATAAAATTCGTTAAAATGGCGGCCATTTTTCAAAATGGCTGCCTTCACCAGAAGTGTCATTAGACAGTGTGCCATGCTCATGGTATTCACATACCAAATATGAACAAAATCACCCCACTACTCGTAAAAATTTTTTTTACATTTAAAGCATATTGCTATTACAGTTTTACATATTGCACCTAAATTACTGTAAAATCGGCAC